CCTCATGGAACCTTCTCAAAAGTTGACCACACACTTGGTAACAAAACAAACCTCAACAAATACAAAAAAATTGGAATAACCCAATGTACCTTATCAGATCACCGTGGTTTAAAACTAGAAGTCAACAGCAATACTAATTCCAGAAAACCCACAAACACATGGAAATTAAACAATGCTTACCTGAATCATCAATGGGTCAAGGAATAAATAAAGGAAGAAATTAAACGCTTCCTAAAATTCAATGAAAATGACCATGCAACATACCCAAATTTATGGAACACAATGAAAGCAGTGGTTTGAGGCAAGTTCATACCACTAAATGTCTACATAAAGAAGCTGGAAAAATCCCACACTAGTGAATTAACAGAACATTTGAAAACTTTAGAACAAAAAGAAGCAAACTCATCTAAGATAACTAGATGAAAGGAAATAATCAAATTGAGAGCTGAAATCAACAAAATAGAAACAAAACAATACAAAGAATCAATGAGACAAAGAGTTGGTTCGCCAAGAAAATCAACAAAATAGACAAACCTTTATCTTAACTAACCAAAAGGCAGAGAGAGAATATCCAAATTAACAAAATTAGAAATGAAAAGGGGAACATAACAACAGACATGGAGGAAATACAGAGGATCATCGGGTCATATTTTGAAAACTTAAAGGAAATGGACAACTTTCTGGATAAATATTACTTACCAAATTAAATCAAGACCTGATAAGCAAATTAAATAGACCTATAACTGCTGAAGAAATAGAAACAATCATCAAATGTCTCCCAACCAAAAAAAGCCCAGGACCATATAGTTTCAGCTCAGAATTCTACAAGACTTTCAAAGAAGAACTAATACCAATACTCCTCAAATTATTCCACACAATAGAAACAGAGGGAATATTGCCAAACTCTTTATGAGGCTACAATTACCCTGATACCCAAACCACAGAAAGACATTACTAAGAAAGAAAATTACAGACCAATCTCACTCATGAACATTGATGCAAAAATACTAATTAAAATACTGGCAAATCGAATCCAAGAACACATCAGAACCATCATCCACCATGATCAAGTTGAATTCATCCCATAGATGCAGGGATGGTTCAACATATGAAAATCTGTCAACGTAATCCACCATATAAACAAGCTGAAAAGTAAAAACCACATGATCATCTCATTAGATGCCAAAAAAGCTTTTGACAAAATACAACATTCCTTCATGATAAAGGTCTTGGAGAGAGCAGGGATACAAGGAACATACCTAAACATAATTAAGGCAATATACAGCAAGCCAACAGCCAACATCAAACTGAATGGAAAGAAACTTCCAGTGATTCCACTGAAATCAGGAACAAGACTCAATATAGTTCTTGAGGTCCTAGCTAGAGCAATAAGGCACCAAAGGGAGATCAAGGGGATACAAATTGGAAAAGAAGTCAAACTCTCACTGTTTGCTGATGATATGATAGTTTACATAAGTAATCCCAAAATTCTACCAAAGAACTTCTACAACTCATAAATACTTTCAACAGTGTAGCAGGATACAATTTTAAGCCAAAGAAATTAGTAGCCCTCCTTTATACAGATGATAAAAGGGCTGGGGAAGAAATCAGAGAATCAATACCCTTCACAATAACCACAAATAGCATAAAATATCTCGGAGTAACTCTAACCAAACAAGTGGGAGACTTGTATGACAAGAACTTTAAATCTTTGAAGAAAGAAATTGAAGAAGACACCAAAAAGTGGAAAGATATCCTATTCTCCCGGGTAGGCAGAATTAACAGCAAAAATGGCAATCTTACCAAAAACAGTCTACAGATTCAATGCAATGCCCATCAAAATCCCAGCAAAATTCTTCAAAGACCTTGAAAGAACAGTATTCAACTTCATATGGAAAAGCAAAAAGCCAGGATAGCCAAAACAATCCTGTACAATAAAAGAACTTCTGTACTCAGAATGCAACCTCAATACTGATCCCTAAGTCCTCCTTTCATGCTGCCAACATAGAGTATACACTCTGCTGTGTGCCTGTGCAGAATACTCAGTTCAGTTCCAATGTAAACACTATTGTGTGTGTGTGTGTGTGTGTACACATAGAGTATACGCTCTGTTGTGTGCCTTTGCAGACTACTCAGTTCAGTTCCAATGTAAACACTATTGTGTGTGTGTATACACATAGAGTATACGCTCTGTTGTGTGCCTGTGCAGAATACTCAGTTCAGTTCCAATGTAAACACTTTTGTGTGTGTGTGTGTGTACACATAGAGTATACGCTCTGCTGTGTGCCTGTGCAGAATACTCAGTTCAGTTCCAATGTAAACACTATTGTGTGTGTGTGTGTATACACATAGAGTATACACTCTGTTGTGTGCCTGTGCAGAATACTCAGTTCAGTTCCAATGTAAACACTATTGTGTGTGTGTGTGTGTGTATACACAGAGTATACGCTCTGTTGTGTGCCTGTGCAGAATACTCAGTTCAGTTCCAATGTAAACACTATTGTGTGTATACACATAGAGTATACACTCTGTTGTGTGCCTGTGCAGAATACTCAGTTCAGTTCCAATGTAAACACTATTGTGTGTGTGTGTATACACATAGAGTATACGCTCTGTTGTGTGCCTGTGCAGAATACTCAGTTCAGTTCCAATGTAGGCACTATTGTGTATCTACTCGTGGTATATATCTATATCACAGTATATATGTATTACAATAGGAGCATCAACATAAGTGATACCTTTAATTAAACAAGATGACTGGCAAATACACAGTTACCTAAAGGTCAGCTGTTCTCTTACAAGCAGATACGATCAATGCATTAAAAATCAGACATATAAGAGCTGGGACATAGCTCAGGAATAGAGTGCTTGCCTAGTGTTTGCAAGTCCCCGAGTTCCATCCCCATCACCCTATCCTCCAAGAAAAGGCAGTTGGACACCTAACTAAAGATCTATTAGTAGAAGCTACTATACTGAGACTAGACCCCTCCTAGGGTGTGGTGGTAAGCTAATGTTCTGTCTCTTTTTCTCTAGCTGGTATTTTTTAACATCCCCTTGATGGCTTACATATGTTGGAGCTTGCTGCAGCGGTGCTTTGGTTACAGCTTCAGGTCTCATCTCCACCAAGGGAAATGTTGGAAAATTATATCCATTTACCTGCTTATGCTTCTCCTGTACACGTGGCAGGTTTATTCTTGCTACTTTCTTCATGTGACTTACGGCACTCTAGCCTTTTTCTTCTCCCCTCTGCGGACCTGGCTGACATTGCTGACACCTGTACTCATTCGTTATGTGTGGACACTGAACTCCACTGGACTTGGAATATTCATGGTGCAATTAAAAAGCCATCTGAGCTCCTGAAGTCCATGGCTTACAGCTGGCAGCCTGGCAGAAGTTCAGTCTTCCCATTTGTAGCCCAGATCTCTGCCCCAGTGGCAGACGGAAAGCTGGTGTCAGCACGTGAGCGTCAGGAAGCTGGTGTCAGCACGTGAGTGTCAGGAAGCTGTCAGTCCTTAACATCTGGATGGTGGAGGCGTTAACTACTGATCCGTGCAGCGTGGACTGCAGAAACACCTAACAGTTGATTCTTTCTTCCTCGGGAGGCAAAGAGCCCTGATCAAGGAGATTCCCAGAGTGGGGGTCTCTGTTACTCGAGTACCTCAGCACTACTGTATTTGTTAGGATCATCCTGTGAAAAGCATCCAGCCCAAGCCTGGAATTCAGCAGCTGTCCAGGGTGCCATTTTACACCTAGCGAACCTGTGGAGACTTGGGCTGGATCTTGACTACTCTTGAAATTTTACTTCCCAGCCTGTTTTCCCATGGATTATGGGCTTTCTGCTTCCTTAGTCGGGGCCGTTTTCAACTAATCGAATAAATGAATGAATGATAAATATCACAAATGTCTGGTTGAAAAAAAATAGCTCAATGGTTAAAAGCATGTACTTCACTTTTAGAGGACCTGAGTTCGATTCCCAGAAACTATGCCAAGTGACTCATAACTCCCTATAACTCTAATTTCAGGACAGAGCCTCTGTAGGTACCTGGATTCATTTGTGCACAGATATACACATAATTTAAAAATAATAAAAGATAATTTTTTTCAAGACAGGGTTTCTTTGGTGCCTGTCCTGGATCTAGCTCTTGTAGACCAGGCTGGCCTCAAACTCACAGAGATCTGCCTGCTTCTGCCTCCCAAGTGCTGGGATTAAAGGCATGCACGACCACCGCCCGGCCAAAAGGATAAATATTAAAAGAAAGAAATATCGAGGCTGGAAAAATAGCTCCGTGATTAAGAGAATTGGCTGCTCTTCCAGAGGCCCCAGGTTCAATTCCTAGCACCCAAATGGCAACTCACAACTATCTGTAACTCTAGTTCCAGGGGATCTGACACCTTCACACAGACACACTTGCAGACAAAACACCAATGCACATAAAAAAAATTAAAAAGAAATGTCACAAACGGACCTTCATTGAGAACCAGAGGCCTGGTGTCTGGGGCTTGGAGACTCATCACGGGGCTGCCATAGACATACTTTGCAGGCAAAAACCTCAAGACACATGGGGGAAAAAAAAGAAGAACAGGTATCTAGTAGGTCAGAAGATGCAAGGCTGGGACTTTAGGAAGTGGGGCGATGGAGTGGGTCAGGGCCAGGCACCTGGCTCGGAATTCAAGTCTGGAAGTCCGCTGGCCAGCAGAAGCCAGGCGAAGGAGGCGTGGCTCGGTCTCCAGGAGGGGGAGGGAGGCGGGCTGCGGAGCTGTGGGCGGGTCTCCAGGAGGGGGAGGGAGGCGGGCTGCGGAGCTGTGGGTGGGTCTCCAGGAGGGGGAGGGAGGCGGGCTGCGGAGCTGTGGGCGGGTCTCTAGGAGAGGGAGGGAGGCGGGCTGAGGAGCTGTGGGCGGGTCTCCAGGAGGGGGAGGGAGGCGGGCTGAGGAGCTGTGGGCGGGTCTCCAGGAGGGAGAAGAGGCGCGGCCTGATCGCTAGGAGAGGAAGGGGCGGGGCGCGATATATGTTGCCGGAAGCGACAGGTGTTTTCGGCACCGGAAGTACAGCGACGAGGCTTAAGCGTCCTGGCTAGTACCTGTGACAGGCTGTGATGGCGAGCTCGGCAGCCGCAGTCCCTTTCCTTGCTCCTCCTCTGGAGCAGCTCCGGCACTTAGCAGCGGAGCTGCGGTCGCTTCTGCCTCAAGTGCGGGGTGAGTTGTGAGAATCTGAGGCCCGGGGCTCCTGAGGGCGGTCGGGCGTCAAGTCAGGGCTCCGCTCATATGTGTTTTGCTTTCCTGGTGGTCCGGCCTCCCACGCTACACCCTCAAGTCGGCGAAGCCCAGGAGACAACCGAGGAATTTAATCGAGAGATGTTTTGGAGAAGACTTAGTGAGTGTCTCTGCCTCTGCAGACTCTTTCCTCATCGCTCCCTGCATCCCCTCTCCCCTCTCCTGTCCCCAGAGGAGATGACAGTCCTCCCGCCCCTCATCCCTTCTGCTACTCATCCTCGGCACTTGAGGCTGAAATATAAAACGATTTCTGGAGTTGTTTTGGAGCTGTTTATGATGATAAGGGTGGTGAAGGGACGCGTTAAAAAAGTCTTTAAAAGTCCGTGTAGCCGTTGCAGCTTTAACCTTTTAACACTAACTTTGGCATCCGCCGCCTCTGCCACCCCCAGATGAGGCAGCAGTGAACCTGTCAGAGGAAGCCAAGATTCTGACCACACTGTTTTCCCGACTTCCACTGCCATCTCCACGGGTGAGCTTTATTTCCTGGAATTTTTGTGCTGCTTCTAGTTTTCCTCTCTCCTTCTACACTCAACTCACATTTATTTTCTCCATTTATCAAATGAGATTATAGTTCTTACCACACGGGATAATTGTGAAGATCAGATAGCCAAGTGCGTAGTAGGGTAGAAAGGTCTAAATTCAGCCTGAAACTCAATCAGGTTAGTTCCTCGTAATTTTAAAAGCCCTTTTTTTGATTTATAGCTATTTCTCATACACAGTCCCCATCTGACAGATGAGCAAGCAGGTTTAGAGAGTCGGGTCAAGATTAATAAATGAAGGAGGTGGAGTCAAAAGTCTATGAAGCAGCTGGGCGGTGGTGGCGCATGCCTTTAATCCCAGCACTCGGGAGGCAGAGGCAGGCGAATCTGTGAGTTCGAGGCCAGCCTGGTCTACAAGAGCTAGTTCCAGGACAGGCTCCAAAGCTACAGAGGAACCCTGTCTCGAAAAAGCAAAACAAACAAAAAATCTACAAAGTATCCAAACAATACCTGTTACATAAAACCCTTTGGTATTAAATAGTTCGTTTACCTATTTATTTTATTTAATTACTAATATGTAGTTATTATAAATTTCAAAAGATAACCAAAGTGCACTGAAATGCATATCTTCCCACCTCAGTCCAAACTTCTGTCTCATTCCCATTTCTTTCTGTATTATACTTTTGTGCATAGATACATCTGTGTGTGTTTCTTTTCACACAATGCAATGATTAGATACTATAAACATTGTTCTATACCTTTCCAAAATTAGTGTAACTTAGAAGTTGATTCTTAGTGGCACATAAAATATTGCCCGGTTTTGTAATGCTTGATATGAAGTAGAGTGAGTATAGCCGTAGCGTAAACAGTACTTGGGGGGCGACTTTTAAACTGCTCCCCACTTGCACCTATTGTAAGTGGCTCTGTAAAATTGTCAGATGTAACCTTTGTGTACACGTGTGTTGAGAGAAGAAAACTCCAGAGGTGAAATTACAAAAACAAAGAATGAATGCATTTTAAATAATCCTTTATTATGTGAGTAAAAGTAAAGCTAGTTATTAGCTGTTTTCAGGAATGTCCCGTGCCACGTGTTCCTAGAGCTACGTGAACTCCAGAGTAGGCTGTCTTATTTTTTATTTTTATTTCATGTCTAGGAGTATTTTGCCTGTATGTATGTGTGCATGAATTGTATGCTTGGTGCCAGTAGAGGGCAGAACAAAGCACTGGATCTCCTGGAACTGGAGTTAAAGATGGTTGTGAGCTGTTAGATGGGTGCTGACTTACAACAGGCTTTCAGAAGACATTTGATCATACTTTATAGATGTTCGATTCCGTCCTCAGTGAATGGGCTGGCAGCATTGGTATTGAGCATTTGCTCTATTCATTCTGAATTCGTCCATCACCTCCTAGGAAACCCAGAGGATCTGTGAGCAAATCCATGTTGCCATCGAGGAAATTATTGCAGTATATTATTCACTTCCTAAGGATCAGGGTAAGTCACCGTGTGCACAGTAGTGTTGCATTTATAGGCTAGGCCTTTAAGGTAGTAGACTATATCCTGGTGTTACATGTTAATATGTAAACTGTATTTATCAATATGTAAGCGTTATTATACATGTTTATCTTTAATGTAATATTGTTATATATTTATGTGTAAGCATATTGTACATGCCTATATTTCTTCAATTTTGAGCATGTGGCTCAAAGGAAATTTTATAATGTGAGTGACTTCTGTAGCACTCCATGTGCTACAGTACAGATGCTATACACATGTAATTTTCCATTGCTACTGCTTGCCTGATTCTTTAGAAAGTATGCGTGTGTGCATTTGTGTGTGTAGAAACACATGGGGATGTGCTCTCTCATTCTATTGTGATTTCCTGGGATTAAACTCAGATCATCAGGCTTGTGCAGTAAGTTCTTTTACCTACTGAGCCACCTCAACCAGTTATTTTAAAAAGTTATTTATTTGATGGGTATGGGTGTTTTGCCTGCATGTATATCTGTGTATGTCTGTGTAGCACTTCATGTCTGGTCCCTGCTGAGGTCAGAAGAGGGTGTTGGATCCCCTGGAACTGAAGTTACAGACAGTGTGAGCTGCCATGTGGGTTTGGAAATTGAACCTGGTCCTCCAGGAGAGCAGCCAGTGCTTCTTTCTTACACGCTGAACCATGTCTTCAGCCCTCAACTGACCCCTTATAAAAAGGATTCATTATTTCTGTCTGTGCATACATAGGTGCATGCATGTGTATATGGGTACATGTGGAGGCCAGCACCGTGTGTTTTTGAGAGAGTCTTCATTGGAGCTCTCTGATTTCCCAGAGAGCCTCCTACCCCTGCTTTGTCAGCACTGGCATTATAGGAACACTTCTCATGTAGGTCCTGGGAATTAAACTCAAGTGTCACTTTCTCAAATAGGCTGCCTTCTCAGCCCCTAATTCACTTTCTTTCCAGTCCATTCTGACAGTTACATATGCTTGCTGAATCTCAGCTCCGTACCCATGCCAAGGCCATCCCCCACCTAGCCTTACACCATACTGTTTGCAGACCTTCACAAGTCACATGCACACCAGCCTGACCTGCAGGTTTATACCTTCATTGAAGCTGTGCTGAAAACATGTCATAGTTCATCGGGGTTACTTACAAATGTTTTAAACTTCCTGTGTTTTGTTCACAACTATCAAAGGACCAGTGTCCTTAATGAAAGAGTACACATGGGAAGACTCCAAAACTGTTGGAGAAAGGCTCTAAGGAATGGCAAGAGGGGTAATAAAATGACGTAAGAATTCAAGTAAGACTTGAGTCTTGTTCTGGTGTGTGATGTGAAGCATGTAGGTGTCTGTTACCTCATAGCTCTGTAATGCTAGGAATCCAGAAAGCAGGTGGTGACTTAGGAAATGACCAGGCTACTTACTGTTTGGGTTTTGCCACAGGAATCACCCTGAGAAAGCTGGTGCGGAGTGCTACTCTGGACATTGTGGATGGCATGGCCCAGCTCCTCCAAGTGCTTGTCTCTCCATCTCCAAGGTAGCCGTGCCTGTGTGGGAAGACAGCTTATGGACTTCCTTGACTCGGGGAGGAAAAACTGACCCCAATAACAAAGTCATATATTGTCCCTCATGGAGGACAGTATATAACAGGAAGGAGTGTTTTAGGAGATATAGGAATCTTGGTAATTTTTTTTTTTTTTTTTTTTTTTTTTGGTTTTTCGAGACAGGGTTTCTCTGTGGCTTTGGAGCCTATCCTGGAACTAGCTCTGTAGACCAGGCTGGTCTCGAACTCACAGAGATCCGCCTGCCTCTGCCTCCCGAGTGCTGGGATTAAAGGCGTACGCCTCCACCGCCCGGCCAGGAATCTTGGTTATTGATATGTCCTTATTACTTCCTCTTTTCAGCACTGAGAACAGTGACCTTATTTCCTGCAATAGTGTCTCGGTAGCATGCCAACAGGTGCCTAAGATTCCAAAAGGTAGGTAGAAGTGAGCTATTAGCTGCTGGCCAAAGTAGAGAGGCCTTTCATGTCCAGCTTCCAGCTTTGCCTTACATAAGTAATTTAATTTCTATGAAGGTTTAAGTGAAATAATATGTAGTTTATTATCATAGATATTAATTGACTTTAGTACCTTTTGCCATTCCTAGTACTGATTTTTGCTTTGGTTTGGTTTTGGCAGTGCTGGGGTTTGGGCCCAGGGCATGCCAGCTAAGTGCTCTACCTCTGAGCACTGCCCCTTACATTCAGAGTCCTCCTCCTGCTGTGGCTCTGCCTCCTGTTGAACACATACAGTTTGATCTCCTTCTACTGCCCCAGGAGCAGCATCGGGGAGCACACAGGAAGAGTTAAAAAGCAGAGTCAGGCAGACTAAGAGTGGTTATCAAGCTCGGAGTGGTTTGATAACCAACACCATGAGACAGTTTTATTTCTTCTGGTGGTGAAATTAAAAAGCCTTATTAACCCTCTGTCCAGGCAGAGGATGTAGTAAGAAAAGCTTGACTCTAAAGTTTGTTGGTTGCCCTTAAGAGAAAGGCTAGGTTTCTTCTCTGATTCTAGTGCTTCTGATCTTCACCCCTAGATAACAAAGCCGCAGCCCTGCTAACGCTGACAGAGAGTGTGGGTTTTGTGAAAGATGCACTTGAAGAAATGGAACAGGTGAGGGCACACTCCTCTCTTTTCTGGTCACTGGAGCAGTAAATGAGAACTGATCGTGAAGACAGGCAGCTCCCCACAGTCTCGCTCCTGTCTTCCACCTCCCCCTGCTTCTGGCTTGTGTCTTATCTTAGTACCACCCCTCTGTTCCTCACTGGACAAGGAGAAGGAGAGTGTGCTTTACAAGTTCATTCAGTTTTGTAGCTGATAGCAAAGCAGGTGGCTGGTGGTGGCAGCGTGTTCGCATTTGCATATATGATGATGTGTCTTAGGCTGTAGAAGAATGTGACCCCTACTGTGGCCTCCTGAATGATTCTGAGGACAACTCTGACAGCCACAATGATGAGGATGGTGTAGTAGGGCTTCCAAGCAACCAGGACTCCTACTGGTCAAAGGAAGATCAGGAGCTCATAGCCCCGTGCCTTGCATTGGTGAAAGCATCCAGAGCTTCTCTCAGAAAAATCCGGATCTTAGTGGCTGAGAATGGGAAGAAGGATCAGGTGGCCCAGCTGGATGACATCGTGGATATTTGTAATGAGATCAGCCCCAGGTAAGCATGTGTCACGCTTGAAAACAGGCCCACTGTGGTCCAAGCTGCCGTTGCTCCAAGTTTCCTTCAGCTTTTTATATTTTGAAAATTTTCAAGCCTAAAAAAAAATTGAAAAAGTACTTCAGTAACTAGCACTATATCCTATTTTTGAATTCTCCTAGTCATCTATTTCTCCTATATGTTTAATTTCTCCATAAATAGGTATGAAATGTTTTTCCTAAATCATTTAGGACATAAATAACTTTCACCCCTAAATATTTTATCAGTAACCTAAGAACATATATTTTAGAGTTACATCAAGATATTTAAGATTTGATGTAATAATAATACCTAGTACTTAGATTTCTCTATTTGTCTCGTGCTGCATTTGGCATGTTTAGTTCTTGCAATCTAGAATAGTTTCCGTCCCATCTAGTCTGACTTGACATTGGCATTTCAGAACTACATATTGTAAATACACAAATAAATTTGGATTAATAAGCTTATTTTCTCATAGTAGTAATAAAGTTAGACTTTGGGTCAAATATATGAGAGTGTTTTGTACTTCCCTCTATCTCCTGTCGGGGAGCAAATTATATTGGTTTTTCTTCTTGTGGTACTAAATGTGGTCACATGGTTAAAGTAGTGGCCTCTTTAGAAGAGTACCTTTATCTAACGTGCTCAGCTTCCATTGATGAACTCTAGTATCACCTAGTTGTCTTTGACTCAGCTAATCATTCCTCATCCTGTGAGACCCCAGCTTCCTAAATATTTAGGATGTGTTTGTTTCAGTAAACGTTGGCTGAACTGCTTCTCATTGCAAACCTGCTTACTCAAATTAAGGAACTGGGTTGGTTGTGTACTGAAAACAACCACACTGAGATCTGAACCCCCTTTTTGGTTAATGATTATATTTTCCTTCTGCTCTTAGTGTGGATAATTTGGTTCTGAGCATATATCCACCTGTGTGTCACCTCACTGTGCGAATCAATGTAAGTACTAGCTTTGAATTGGTAGAATGTCTTTAGTCTCTGGTATTCCCTATAAGCTATAGAGCATTTATATTTTTGCCAAACTTGTATACAGATATAATAGTTTCCCAATTCTTATATATATTTGTGCTGATTTTGAGTTATAATAACCATCTGCTTTGTTTTTTTGTTTTTTTGTTTTTTTTGCTGGTGGTACACGCCTTCAGTCCCAGTATTTGGGAGGCAGAGAGAGGTGGATCTCAGTGAGTTAGAGGCCAGCCTGGTCTACAAAGCCAGTTCCAGGAGAGCCAGGGCTACACAGGGAAACCCTGTCTTGAAAAACCAAAACAAAAACAAAAAATAAAATTTTTAAGCCTTTTGTTGTGGTTGTGGTGCTAGGGATTCAAAGTAGGCTACACTAGGCAAGGGCTCTGCTGCTGAGCTACAGCCCCAGGTCTTGAGCTCCAGTTTTACTGCCTTGGGCTTCTTAAATTCTAAACAGGAACATCTGCTAGTTCTGCATCGGCCAGAACTATCCCAAACTCTGTTAAAAGTCTTTTTTTTCTCTCTTTTGGAACAGTCTTTTTATGTGTGATCCAGGCTGCCTTAAAACTCACTATTCTCCTACGAGGTTGAGATTATCCTTTTTTTTTTTGTAGCAAATTAAAAAATACTAAAAATGAGCCAGGTGCAGTGGTGCAGAAGGTAGAATTCTGTGAGTTCAAGACCAGCCTGGTCTACAGAGTGAGTTCCAGGACTACATAGAGAAACCTTGTCTCAAAAACCAAGCAAACAAAAATTAATTAATTAAAAATAAGATTTTCTTAAGTAGAAAAGGATCCATAATGTACTAGCCTAACCTAATTCATTCATTCATTCATTTATTGTGTGTGCACACACATGTCACAATTGGATGACTGTGAGAGTCCTTCCTAGGAATCATATTTGGGTTGTCAAATGGCAGCAAGTGTGCTTACCCACGATCCATCTCATTGGCCCTAATCAGCATTTTTGTTGTTGAATATTTTATCTTCAAGGTTCCTTCCTTCCTTCCTTCCTTCCTTCCTCCCTCCCTCCCTCCCTCCCTCTTTCTCTCCCTCCCTCCCCTTCTTCCTTCCTTCGCTTTCTTTTTTTGGTTCTGGGAGTTCAAACTTGGGTCTTCATAAGTGCACAGCACCAAGCCACTTCTCCGGCCCCTTTAAGGATCGTTTTAAATGATTCTCTTATTATTATGTGTATCTTCAGGTTCTCCTTTCTTTAGGTGCCAGAGCTCACCCAAAGCTCTCTCTCTCTCTTTTTTTTTTTCTAGTCTGCAAAACTGGTGTCTGTTTTAATAAAGGCGCTTGAAATTACAAAGTAAGTCTGAAGGCTTTTCCCTATGCCGCTTGAGAGTAAACTTGTCAGCCCAGCTCCGTGTGTGTGTGTGTGTGTGTGTGTGTGTGTGTGTGTGTATGTGTGTGTGAGAGAGGGGGGGGAGAGGGAGAGTGTGAGTGTTGGAGAGGGTCTGTGGTGCAGTGGGACAGCCATCTGTGACGAGGAATACCTTCTTACTGTGGTTTGCGCCTCCCGGGCATGGCTTTGCCCTTCATACTATGTTAACATTCTTTCTGTTTTATTCCCAGAGCCAGTCATGTGACCCCCCAGCCAGAAGACAGCTGGATCCCTTTACTCATTAATGCCATTGATCATTGCAGGAACAGAGTTAAGGAGCTCACTCAGCATGCAGCTGAGTTATGAGCTGCCAGGCCGTTCTTACTCCTCTTTCTCCTGTTTCTCCTCTCACTCATAGCCAAGCTCCAGTGTCTGCTTTTATTTATTTATTTATTTTTTCCTGGTGTCTGCTTTTAGAAGTGGAGCTATGACAGGGTGGGTGCTTGCTGGATAGAAAGGGAGCTCCTGTCTGTATTTCACAAGAGATTGTTATCAAGATTGTAGGCTAGGACAGATTGGCAGTTATCTATAAGTCATAAGAATGTGATATTCTTCTGTGCTAGACACAAAAGGAATTTCTATAAATTTGTGATCTGAGCTGTTTCTTGGAGATTAAGGAAGTTGTCCTATTCTCTATTTTACAGTAAAGTATATTGTTTTATTAAGATTTTGATGATCTCAATAAAATGCTTACCTCTGTCATTAAATGTTTCATTTAATGTGTCTTCCAAAGTGTTATTTAAAATCTTTTATTGTAGCCAGGCATGTTGGCATAATTCTAGTGCTTGGAAGGCAGAGACAGGTGGATCTCTGAATTAGATGCCAGCTTGGTCTATATAGTATATTCCAGTACAGCCAGAGAGCTACAGACTTAGTCTCAGAAAGAATAAGGACAAAGAAAAAAAACAGACTAGAGACATTGCACAGTGGTTAGTACTGCATATGGTGGTAGGTTAGTGTCTCAGTTAGGGTTTCTATTGCTGTAAAGAGACGCCATCAACACAGGATTTCTCTGTGTAATAATAGCTCTGGCTGTCCTAGAACTCTGTAGACCAGGCTAGTCTTGAGCTCACAGAGATCTGCCTGCTTCTGGAATGCTGGAATTAAAGGTGTGTGCCACCACACCTGGCCCAAACAATTGGGTCTGGAGAGAGAGCAGAGAGTTCTGCATCTGGATCCATAGGCCAGAGGAAGTGAATGTGACACTAGATGTTCCACTAGACCTAACTTGAGCATTAGAGAATTCAAAGTCTGCTCCCTTGTGAAGCACTTCCTACAACAAGGCTACACCTACTCTAACAAGACCACACCTCCTAATAGTGCTGCTCCCTACTAGCCTATGGGGCCATTTTCATTCAAACCACCACAGTTGTGTGGATATGAATGGAGAAGAGAAGAAAAAGGCTAGCTGGGCCGTGGTGCCACACGCCTTTTATCCAGCACTCAGGGAGGCAGAGGCAGGTGGATCTCTTGAGTTTGAGGCCAGCCAGATCTACAAAGTGAGTTCTAGAACAGAGATACACAGAGAAACCCTACCTCAGAGGAGGAGGAAGAAGGCGGTGGCCAAGACTAAGATTAGTATTGGGTAGATTGGGTACTGTAGGAACATAAATGGTTGGGGAAGGGAATTTTGGCTGAAGGTAGACTGAAAAGACAGATAAAGATATATACACTCACACAATATAGAACAGTTTCCTTTCTCAGGACACTGGGCAATAGAGACCCTGCAAATCAGTTCAATCTGCTTTGGGGGAAGAAAATAAAAAAGGAAAGAGTGAGGAGGAGGAAAAAGTGACTCAGGGCAATAACAGAAGAGAAGCAAGTTGGCATGCTAAATTGACATTCAGTATTAAATAGGAGAATAGATGCAGGGAGGAGAGAGGTCTGGGTGTTTATATAAGCTATGAGAACTGTCCTGACTGATAACCAGACTCAGTTTCATCTCTCGGGGTCCTTTCCCCAGTTACAAGAAGTCGTCTTGGCCCTGGGAGTTCCTCCATTTGACTCTTGTTTTCTCCCAGTCTGACTGGATACCTCAGTTACAAATGCTGATCCAGTCTGTGTTTAGGGGTGGAGTCTCAGATGCCGGCACACCTCTGTGCCTTTCTTCAGGGTTCTGGTTGCAAACGCTGGCCCTTCCCTCTGCTGTCTCCACAGGCCATGCAGTTTGGGGTGTGTTGCTCAAATCCTGATGTTACATCATGACCACATTCTGTCACACACATTTCCTAGTGTTTCAGGAGTCCCTGGCTTTACGGAATAATAGGAGGGGGCAGAGGATGGCGAGTGTTGTAGCTTTCTCAAGTTTAAGTGAAGGCGTAAGTCACAAACAATGCCACACCAGTTTGGAATTATGATTAATAGGGTGGTATTTATTTAAAGGGGAAAAAACTTACAGATCACCGTCCCAGCCCTCTGTGCAACCAGGAAGGGAGTCTAGTCGCCGGCGGAGCAGGAAGTGAAGAGAGAGAGGAGAGGGAAGTGGCTGTTTTTTTAAAGGGAGAGAGACCACGCCCCAGTGGGCTGGTATCTCAGCAGCTATAGGTTGGAGGAGCGGGAGGACCTCCCACAACATTTAAGGTCCCCTACCCCTTCTCTAGAGCTCTGTCTATGAGTTGTGGTGCTGTCCTCTGTTGGTAGGTTCAGGCAGCATGTGTTGAGCCTCTTCCAAGCTTTTCTCCTTATCCTGCATCCATTTGCTTGATCCTCTTGGCAATGGCAGTGAAGGGGGATTGTGGAAATCTTGGCTTCACACCCCTGTAATCATCATACATGTCTAGCTTGCTGTATCTAAAATTTTCCTTCAGTCTGAGATCAGCAGTGGGACCCCATGGGCTGAGAGACCCTCGGGGCATTTTCCTGGTGCGGCTTACTCATCGATAGGCTTCACAGAAAAAAAATCCTAGCCTTATTTCTGCATTCTGTAGTCCTTTCTCTGGTCTCTGTGACTCTACTGTCTTGAGTTTCTTCTACCTCTCCTAGTCACCCAAATGCAGTTTCTGACCAATTCCTAAGTTTTGTTCTACCAGAAATGCAGTCTGTTGAGACCAGAATGTTGTTTTCATTTAGGTTGATAGACCTGAAGGTCTGCGTCTGCTCTGAAGTGCATTTAAAATGAAAATACTAAGTTTTACATACATAGAGATGACCACAAAGCCCTCTTAGGCTCTTTTATTTACCAGTAAGTCCTGAATGTTTTTCTGGTTACTCTTTGCCTCAAAAGATTTTGGTATTGAGCGCTGTCTTAGTTACTGTTCTATTGCTGTGAAGAGACACCAACAAAAAAGGCAGCTTATAGAGGGGGCTTACAGCTTCTGAGGGGATATTAGTTAGGGTTTCCTTTTGCTATGATGAAACACTGTGACCAAAAGCAAGTTGAGGAGGAAAGGTTTTATTTGGCTTATACTTCCACCAGAGAAGGAAGTCAGAATAGGAACTCACACAGGACAGGAACCTGGAGGCAGGAGCTAATGCAAAGGCCATTGAGAGGTGCTGTTATTGGCTTGTTCGTCATGGCTTGGTCAGCCTGCCTTCTTATATAATCCAGGACCATCATCTCAAGGATGGTACCATCCACCATGGACTGAGTCTCCTCCCAATAAATCACTAATTAAGAATGTCCTATAGCCAAATCTTATGAAGGCGTTTTCTTAGTTGAGGTTCCTCTATTCAGATAACTCTAGCTTCTGTCAAGTTGACATGAAACTAGCTAGAACACTTGATCTCTTATCAACTTGAGACACAAACACATCACTGTTAAGCCATAACCTTTCCATTTTTTTACTCATTCCCAAGAGATGAGATTAATGAATATCACTGCGGTGGTTTGAATGAAAATAACGGCCATAAGATTATAGGGAGTGGCCCTATTAGGAGGAGTGGCCTTGTTGGAGGAAGTGTGTCACTGGGGGTGGGCTTTGAGGTTTCAGATGCTCAAACCAGGCCCAGCACCACTCCCTCTGTTGCCGGTAGATCCAGACATAGACCTCTCAGCCACTTTTCCAGTATGTCTGCCTGCATGGCACCATGCTTCCCCTCCATGATGATAATGGACCAACCCTCTGAGCCTGTAAGCCAGCCCCAATGAAGTGCCTTCCTTATAAGAGTTATAATCAAGGCTGGAGAGATGGCTAAGTGGTTAAGAACACTGGCTGCTCTTCCAAAGGGTCCAGGTTCAATTCCCAGCAGCCACATGGCAGCTTACTTCAGTTCCAGAGGATCTGATACCTTCACACCAGTGCACATAAAAAAGTTAAATTAAAAAAAAAAAATGGACAAAGCCGGGCGGTGGTGGCGCACGCCTTTAATCCCAGCACTTGGGAGGCAGAGGTAGGCGGATCTCTGTGAGTTCGAGACCAGCCTGGTCTACAAGAGCTAGTTCCAGGACAGGCTCCAAAACCACAGAGAAACCCTGTCTCGAAAAACCAAAAAAAAAAAAAAAAAAAAAAAAAATGGACAAAACCAGCCAAACAAAAAAGAGTCGTCATGATCATGGTGTCTCTTTACAGCAATAGAACAATGACTAAGGCAATCACAAATATAAGACATATCGGACCAGGCTTCTATTGTCTCCAAGCTCCTGCAGAACAGCCCACTGAGCTCTCAACACGCAATGACTTTTCTAGCCCAAAGTTCCAAAGTCCTTCCACAGTCCTCAAAACAACATGGTCTGGTCTGTTGTGGCGGACCTCTCGACCGGCGAGAAAGAATAACCACCACACCAGGATTCCACTCAGATCACGTTTTACTGGAGTACCCTTGATTGATGGGGAGCATGAAACGAGGGGGGCAGGAAAACAAGGGGCAGTAAGGGAAGGGCAGGGAGAGCATGAAGCAAAGGGGAGAAGGGCTCTTAGGCAGCTGCTTAAATAGGGAAATGGCACACGGGTCGCCCTGTGATTGGCTGCCACCAACAGCTGACACCAGACCGCATCGGGATAGGCTCAAGGATCCTCATCCACCGCGCATGCGGGAAGCGGGGGATGCGCAGCTCTCAAAGGCATAGCCAAATATGGAGTTGTTTATTTCCAACAAGACAGGATGTCGGCGCCATCTTGTAATGACGATCCTGTCCGGCTCACTACAGTCTGTCACAGAAACCTCATCTCAGTTAGTGTTTGATTGCTTAAAGAATCTCAGTTCTGTTGTGGAATATTATTTTAACTATGTAAAGGTGTGGTACATTTGTTCCTGCTGCTTTTGTTAACAATGCAAAGACATGTTGCATATGTTTGATTAAGTAAAATTAATCTGGGGTCAGGAAGCTGAGTCAGCAACTAGCTGACAGGACGTGGTAGGAAAAAACCATGTGTAGCAAGGGTTCTTTAGTGTGGACTGAGCAGGACAGCTCTTTCCCCTCCTCCTCCCAGACACGAGCAAGGAACAGTTAGCTACTTATTTTTATTATTATTATTATTATTATTATTATTTATTTATTTATTAAAGATTTCTGCCTCCCATTTCCCTCCCCTAATCAAGTCCCCCTCCCTCGTCAGCCCAAAGAGCAATCAGGGTTCCCTGACCTGTGGGAAGTCCAAGGACCACCCACCTCCATCCAGGTCTAGTAAGGTGAGCATCCAAACTGCCTAGGCTCCCACAAAGTCAGTACATGCAGTGGGATCAAAAACCCATTGCCATTGATCTTGAGTTCTCAGTAGTCCTCATTGTCAGCTATGTTCAGCGAGTCTGGTTTTATCCCATGCTTTTT